CTGCCGCGAGAGCGCCGCGCTTCTGCGAGTCGCCGCCAGGAGGCGCCATTGCGTGGCTCTCCCGGACGTCCAAGGTCCTGGGTTTTCCATCAGACCTTCGGGTTACCTGGGCTCTGGGGCTCCGCAATCTCCATTGAGCAGCCTCCCCGTAGCCCTGTTGTGGGGTTCCAGAAAATCCTGCCCGGGAAATATTGGGGTTCCTGGAGATTCAGAGTCTCCAGTACCTCCACCTTTGTTGCAAAGCCTTTTCATCTCGTTTTTATTCTGCACAGTCCATATTTTAAAAATTCAACTAGGTGCGGTGGTGCACGCCTGTAATCCCAGCACTTGGGAGGCTGAGGCAGGAGGGTCGCCACAAGTTCAAGGCCAGTTTGGACTACATAATGACACCTTGATTCAAAAAAAATTTCACTCAACACACACTTATAGATCACCTATTGTGTGTATCCGCACAAACAAGGGGCTTCACACTTTGTTTAATGCTCTTTTATTTATTTATTTATTTTTGAGACAGGGTTTCACTATGTAGTTGAGAGAGACCTGGAACTCACTATGTAGCCCAGGCTGGTCTCAAACTCACAGCGATCCTCCTGCCTCAGCCTCCCGAGTGCTGGGATTACAGGTGTGTGCCACCACACCCGGTTTAATGCTCTGCTTTTGAAATTTTAAATTTTTTTTTTTGGTACTGGGGATAGAACTCAGGATTTTGTGCTTGAGAGGCAGGCAGCAGCACCATAGAGCTAAATTCCCAGGCCCTCGAAATCTTAATTTTTTTCCCAAGACTTAATTTTGTTTTTATTTTGAGACATGGTCTCTTCAAATTTGCAATCCCCAGCCTTCCCAGTAGCTGAGGTTACAGGTATATATACCTACGTGCCCAGCTTTTAAAATCCTTGCTAGTAGCCAAACCAGATGATGCACACCCATAATCTCAGCACTCAGGAGGCGGAGGCAGGAGGATTGCTGCAAGTTCAAGCCCAGCCTGCACTACATTCGGAGACCCTGTCTGAAAAAAATGGGAAAAATATTTTAAAAACGAGCAAAGGATATGCAGTATCTTAGGTGGTGATGACAGCAATTAAAAGGAGAAGAAGAAAAAACCACTCCTTCCCAGGGGTCATCAGAGAAGGGGTCACTGCAGAAATGGCTCCTGGAACAGCCAGGAGCAAAGGAACCAGCCCTGAAGACCTTTAAGGAGGCTGCTGGGATGGAGGGGGTGGCGTGGGCTGGGCCCACCGAGTGGAGCTCTGGAGTCGTGCAGAGGACTTTGGAGAGCGAGGCTGCACACGTTTCCCATGAGGGCCTGACAGAGTTCAATTTGACTTTCAGAGCAGACAGCCTTCACCCTGCTCTGCAGCTCAGCACGGCCACTGACCTCTGTGATTGAATGAGGCTTGCTCTGTTCTCCTGAAAAAAACTTGGTTGATAAGCCAGTGTGGTGCTGCACACCTTTAATCCCAGCACTCTGGAAGGCTGAGGCAGGAGGATCCCAAATTCAAAACTAGACTGGGCAATTTAGTGACATAGCGAGACCCTGTGTCAAAATAAAAGTTAAAAAGGCCCGAGGATAGAACTCAGCCTAAAGGCCCTGTATTTTTTAATTTTATTTCATTCTATTCTATTTTATTTGTTTGTGGTTTTTTGGTTTTGTTTTGTTGGGGTTTTTTTGTTTGTTTGTTTGTTTGTTTGTTTTTTGGAGGCAGGGTCTCACTATGTAGTTGAGACTGACCTGGAACTCACTGTGTAGCCCAGGCTGGTCTCGAACTCACAGCAATCCTCCTGCCTCAGCCTCCTGAGTGCTGGGATGACAGGTGTGCTCCACCATGCCTGGCTCTATTCTATTTATTTTTGAGACAGGGTCTTACTATCTCTTCAGGCTGGCCCTGAACTCACTGTGTAGCTCAGGCTGGCCTCCAATGCACAGGGATCCTCCTGCGTCTGCCTCCCGAGGTCTGGGATGACAGGTGTGCACCACCACGCCCAGTCATGGTTAGCACTTCATGCTGAGTGAGGTCCCAGGAGGCTTCTGAGTGGGAGAGAGAAGAGTCTGAGAACCCTCACATCGGCCCAGTGTGCCTGGAGGCATCTGGGACATCCGTGGCCATCATGACTGGGGGAGCCCCTGCCCCACAGCCAGTGGAGGCTGATGGGGCTCAGCACCCTGCAGTGCCCGGGGCTCCTCACAGACGATGCCCTGATGCATCCAGAGTGCTGAGGGAGACAGACTTGGCTCTGGGGTGTACATCCCATAACTTAGCCCATTTGGCCCAGAGAGGGGAAGTGTCTGGCTCAAGGACGCAGAGCGGGAACGGCATGGCCAAAGTGAAATAAGTCCCACCACCTGCCCGTGGGCCCGTCCTCTTAGATTCAGGTTCTGGGCTTCCTCTCCTGTCCCTCGTCCCTTCTCTCTCCTCCAGTGTCAGCTCTCCTGGCTGCCAGTCACCAGGCTGGCCTGTCCCCCTTCCAGCGTGGCGCTGGCTTCCCAATGCTGCTCACTCCTGGGTCTCTCTCCTGTCCGAGACACCTTTCATCTGCCAGCCCCTTCTCATCTGTCTTATACTTAAGCACCGGGGCCCCCGGCATGGTGGCAGACCCCTGCCCCCAAGTCTTGCCAGGCTTTGGTCTCTTCTCCTGCCACCAGCGACACACAGGGGCCACTGAGCCACTGGAGGACTTGGCTTCACCTGAAGGACAGGTAGGAGCCACGGAGGGGGACTGACTTAGTGCTCACAGGTGCCTTTGGCGGCTGTCAGGGTGGGCAAGCTTGGGTCAGGGGACACTGGAGCCAGGGACCAAGAAGGCGGTCACTGCATAGTCCAGGTGCGTGGCAGTTTCTCCTGAGGTCACCTTGACCCCGTGCTGCCCCTACCCACCCCTCAGATCTTCACCCCTTTGTCCTCTTCACTGGGAAACTCACCCTGAATTCCCCCATCACAGCCCAACCACCAAGGTTCACAGATCCTTCAGCACATGATTGTCTCTCTGGGGACCCGCATGACAGCAGGGACCACTGTCTCAGTCACCCCTGGTGGCCAGAGCCCAATGCCCTCCTGGTGGTCAGTGACTGCGGGAATGAAATGCCTACAGGTCAGAGGCTGCGGCCTTGCAAGTCCTTCATTAACTCTGCCCACACACCGACCACCCGGGGTCAGGGTGCCAGGGTGCCAGGCTGTGTGCCAGGGATGCCTCAGTGGGCCCTGCTCTGGAGCGTGACCCAGATGCTCCCAGCCCTTGGAATCTGAGCCCGGGGCTGGATCTTCCCCATCTCCAGTGAGCTTAACTGAGCAGCTACTACAACCCACATCCTTCCCTGTCCCCAGGGATCAGCCTTAGCATGGTGTACAGGCCCAGTTAGTTTTTGAGACAGAGCCTTAACTGATGACTGAGTCACAGTTCTTATTGTGGGCCCAGGCACTGTGATGGGCAGCGCTTGGCGTACACAGTCTGCCCACTTCACAGACCAGAACGGTGAGGCTGGGAGCTGGTGAGTCTCTGGGCCCAGTCTCTCGGGAGGACACGCGGGGAGGGGGTGAGCAGGGCACCGGATTCTGCAGAGCTGCACTGGAGGGCGAGCGAACGTGAGTACACGAGTGCGTGACTCAATGAACGATCAGTGAATGGGCGAATGGGTGGATGAGTAAATGCCAGGGAAGACGAGCAAGTGTGGGTGTCAGAAGTCAGAGGCTGGGGCGGTGGGGTTCTGTTCCCCCGGTTCTGCTGGGAAAGGAAGAGAGATGAGGACAAGAAGGTCCAAGGAGTCCAAGGAGCCTGGGTGTGCAGCCCTCGGGTGAGGGACTGGGCCCCCTTCAGCGCTTCTGACTCAGATCAGATCCCGCCAGGGCAGTGATCCACCCCTGGACCTTCTCGAGTGGGGGTGCGGGGGAGTGGAGCGCGGAGGGCTGGGCGGCTCGAGAGCAGACTGCTTGTGAGTGGGCGGTGTCGAGGCGAACTGGGGCGGGGCGGGGCTGGTGTGGGCTGGGCCGGCGGGCGGGATATACAGAGTGGGCGGGGCACCGTCAAAGC